CTCGAAAACGAACTCGAAATCTTCCAGGCTACAGGTGAAAAAACACATAATATCTGTCTTCTCTTAAATGCATTAAACACGATTCCAATCACATCAATTGAATCGGAAAGGGCATTCTCGGTAGCAAGACTTTCATTACTAAAATAAGAATTAGAGTGAGTGATCGGAGTATTGATCATCTTTGCTTTTTAAAATCTTATAAAAGTTTACAATATTTTGTATTATATTTTATTTAAAAAACGAAAATTACCTTCTAAGTTATAAGTTTGATCTAGTTCAATTTTTAATTTTTAACTCAATTCAAAGCATTTTTGTTGTTGTTGTTGTTGTTGTTGTTGTTGTTGTGTGAAGTTTCTAGCAAACTTTAATAATTTTTTTTCTATTTGTGAAAATTTCTACGTAATTCAAAGGTAATTTTTATTATATATCTTACACAGCATTATTAATATGATTTTGGATGATACAGAACTTTAAAATTACTTTTAAAAATTAAAAATAATTATATCATTTAATTTCAAGATATTTTGTATACCTTAAAAATAATTGATTCTATCCCGGGATTTCCCGGGATTTCGGGAAACAGTTCACTTTTATCCCGGAATCCCGGGACAAGCAAAAGCCCGGGAAATGAGAAACCCTAGTTTTGCGCCTGACCAAAGAGATGGCCACGTGGAGTTTTCCGGATTCTCTTCCTTTTTATAATACCTAAATAGGAACTAAATCTCAATACGTAATCGATTCAAACACCGTTATTTTAAAACCCACTGAGGAGAGAAATATTGCATTTCCGAAATGCATCTGATGGAATAAAGTTGTTTATTAGCCAGTATTTTTGGATGTGATAATTCGTAGAAAATAACGGCATATATCAGGATCAAAACAAGTTTCATTTCTTTTTTATTATCGTACAAAAGTAAGATTTAAAACAACCGTTTGTTTTTTTATTTATTTTGAATTTAAAACTAAGTCTTATTTTTACATTAGTAAATGCAATTTTATATATTAATTTCAGTTTTATTGGTTAAAAATGGCCGACTTTGATCGAAATAATTGAAAATTTTCAAATTTGAACGTTATGTTTTTAATGATGAATTAAATTGTTTTAATATTTATTTCTTATATTAAATAAATAAATAAATTATAAACAATTTTTTATAATTATAATTTGTTATGATAATGATGTTAATAATTTATAAAAATAAAATTTATTCCATAGTCGAACCGAATTTTTATAGTATGAATTTATTATATCTTGGAAAAACATATTTAAAACTAAATCAAAAAGAAAAAGCAGTTATTTGTCTTGAGAAAGTAAAAAATTATCCGCTAAAAACCAGAGATGATCAGGAGGTAAGAATAACAATTTTAAAACATATTTAAATTTTATATTATTGAATTTAACACTTTGTTTTTACTTTTGTTAGGCATTCAAGGAAGCTGTTGAACTCTTAAAATCACTAAAATAAAAGAAAATTTGAAATATTTCATTATAATTTTTACAAAAATAATACTATATCTAAAACTAAGAATTTTCATAATTTTCTATTATAAAGATATATATCGATATGTTTTATAACATATAATAATAATAATTTCTTAACTTAGTTTAATAGAATAAAATTATCATTCAACTGTACCTGAATAAAATTTCAGAATTTTAAAAAAATATTAAATAAACTTTTATTTCATTTTAAAGGATTATTATTTATTTATTTATTTATTTTTTGTTTTTATAAATTACTAGCATCCCCGTCGCGGCCTGCCCGCTCTTATATACATATAGAACTTAGAAAATTTGAACTAATTGTTTATTAATTATTTTTGAGTGATCAATGTGTAGTATTGCAGTAGAGTATTGCAAAATATAAAAAAAAAATAAAATCATAAAACTTCTGAATAAGTTATATTGATGTGAAACGTAAAAAATTCCTCGCTACACGCATTCGATTCTGAGCCGAAGGAATTCGTTGCCCTTCCAGTCTTTGCTGTAGAAGTGTAGATTCACGTCGTCTACAATTATGAGCTGTTTCTTCCTATTCGTGCTCTTGCAGCTCTCGGCATTATTTATCAATCAATCTCAAAAATATTCACCAATAACTATTTCGAATATTTTGTACAATTACCTACAGAAACGATTCGAAAACCCCCCATAAGTACACATACTGCCATCCAGCGTGATGACGTCACTTTTTTAATTCCTCGAAGATTTTGCTAATTAACTAATTATAATTTAATGTCAGTTCTTCAAATATAATAGTAAGCTTCAATAATAGACTTTTCTTATAGACAGCGTGTGTCACTATCTAGTGAAGAGAGAGAGAAATAGACAGACAAAACTCCGTTGCATTTTTATTTAATTAATAAAAAAATCTGTAGGTTTGGTTAATGGTAAACATTCCAGGGATCATAAAGATGCTACAGTTAAAGTTTGATAACGATTGGTTCAGTAGTTTTCACGGTTAGTGGTCACAAACGAAAAATACGTTTTCTTTTTATATAGTAGTATAGATATAGATATAGATATAGATTATATCGAAGATTTTGCTATTATTATTACATCAATGCAACAATTCAACAGTAAATAATCACTGTTATTGGGCTGCAATTTTCTAAATAAATAAATAATAATTATATATTTTTATATTTTGTGTATAGATAATAGTCTCTTTTCCATATGTACACCGAAGGGGGCATGTGGGATATAGAGAGGCAAAGTCTGCCCTGAACTTTGTTCAAATCTGTATTATCTGTAAAGTCACAATCTATATTTTCACGTTATACTCATATAGAGGTAGCCTACTCCATAACACAGTAGATCCCCTATAACACTGTTGATAATTCTGTGTTATATGAATTCCATGTTGTACGAGTCACTTAGATTTTACAAATACGTGTGCCGGGCTGTGAACGGCTCACATATTTGTAAAATCTAAGTGAGTCGTACAACATGGAATTATCAACAGTGTTATAGGGGGGTCTACTGTACTTTTTACTTTGCACAGCTTGTTATTATAAGTGCATTCAATATTATATAAGAAACAAGATAATATGAATAGAGATGATCCGATATGATACGATACTGACAGGCTACTTGCTTTTTTCCATATTCNTGTTTCTTCCTATTCGTGCTCTTGCAGCTCTCGGCATTATTTATCAATCAATCTCAAAAATATTCACCAATAACTATTTCGAATATTTTGTACAATTACCTACAGAAACGATTCGAAAACCCCCCATAAGTACACATACTGCCATCCAGCGTGATGACGTCACTTTTTTAATTCCTCGAAGATTTTGCTAATTAACTAATTATAATTTAATGTCAGTTCTTCAAATATAATAGTAAGCTTCAATAATAGACTTTTCTTATAGACAGCGTGTGTCACTATCTAGTGAAGAGAGAGAGAAATAGACAGACAAAACTCCGTTGCATTTTTATTTAATTAATAAAAAAATCTGTAGGTTTGGTTAATGGTAAACATTCCAGGGATCATAAAGATGCTACAGTTAAAGTTTGATAACGATTGGTTCAGTAGTTTTCACGGTTAGTGGTCACAAACGAAAAATACGTTTTCTTTTTATATAGTAGTATAGATATAGATATAGATATAGATTATATCGAAGATTTTGCTATTATTATTACATCAATGCAACAATTCAACAGTAAATAATCACTGTTATTGGGCTGCAATTTTCTAAATAAATAAATAATAATTATATATTTTTATATTTTGTGTATAGATAATAGTCTCTTTTCCATATGTACACCGAAGGGGGCATGTGGGATATAGAGAGGCAAAGTCTGCCCTGAACTTTGTTCAAATCTGTATTATCTGTAAAGTCACAATCTATATTTTCACGTTATACTCATATAGAGGTAGCCTACTCCATAACACAGTAGATCCCCTATAACACTGTTGATAATTCTGTGTTATATGAATTCCATGTTGTACGAGTCACTTAGATTTTACAAATACGTGTGCCGGGCTGTGAACGGCTCACATATTTGTAAAATCTAAGTGAGTCGTACAACATGGAATTATCAACAGTGTTATAGGGGGGTCTACTGTACTTTTTACTTTGCACAGCTTGTTATTATAAGTGCATTCAATATTATATAAGAAACAAGATAATATGAATAGAGATGATCCGATATGATACGATACTGACAGGCTACTTGCTTTTTTCCATATTCTACAGGTGTCGATAGTAAATGAAACCCGAAAGATAATTCGTTTAGAGCAGGGGTGTCCAACCTTTCTGTTTCTCTGGGCCACATTGGAAGAAGTCATAAAATTTTGGGCCACAAGTTTATCGTGGCCCAATTCGTACTTGTATATACTTGTATATTTATACAAGTATATATATACTTGTATAATATACTTGTATATTTAAGGATCTACATGCCTAGATTATAGTAATAAGTATTAAAACTTTATCACGAAAAAGGATATTTTAAAAAATTACTTCTACAGACACTTTTAATTTCTACTTATAAATAGATAAATTTATTTATTATAAAGGAAAAAAACACAAATTNAATTAAATCATTTCTATGACCAAGGGCGGCGTAAGGCATGGACGACGTGGGCCACCGCCTATGCCTCGCGGTCCGAAGGGCCTCGCGTTTCGAAGGTTTATGCATTACTTAAAAGCCGCGAACGCGACGAAAATATTTTACTCGTCATAAAATGATAGTTTGTCAAATTTTTATTCATAAAAATGCAGTTTCAACTGCTTTTTATTTTATAAAATCCTTATTCTTGAGCCGCCAGAGGGCCTTTTAAACAATAGGTAGTCTGTTAGCGTTGGTCAGTAGTAGTACAAATTCAATACGAACGTTTGTTTCTTGAAAATCTGATCACGATTTAAATACAGTATTTACTTTTAATATTACCGATATGTCATCGAAAAGAAAACGTATTGTATTATCATTAAAAGACAAATTAAAGTATTTTTTCGATTATCTGGATTTTTCCTTATCCGGATTACCTTCATCCCCAATTAGTCCGGATAATAGAGGTTCTACTGTATATATTTTTATATTTTGTGTATAGATAATAGTCTCTTTTCCATATGTACACCGAAGGGGGCATGTGGGATATAGAGAGGCAAAGTCTGCCCTGAACTTTGTTCAAATCTGTATTATCTGTAAAGTCACAATCTATATTTTCACGTTATACTCATATAGAGGTAGCCTACTCCATAACACAGTAGATCCCCTATAACACTGTTGATAATTCTGTGTTATATGAATTCCATGTTGTACGAGTCACTTAGATTTTACAAATACGTGTGCCGGGCTGTGAACGGCTCACATATTTGTAAAATCTAAGTGAGTCGTACAACATGGAATTATCAACAGTGTTATAGGGGGGTCTACTGTACTTTTTACTTTGCACAGCTTGTTATTATAAGTGCATTCAATATTATATAAGAAACAAGATAATATGAATAGAGATGATCCGATATGATACGATACTGACAGGCTACTTGCTTTTTTCCATATTCTACAGGTGTCGATAGTAAATGAAACCCGAAAGATAATTCGTTTAGAGAATAATCAGTTTGTTTCACTAATCATTTAAATTCAAAAATAAAGAAATAAGTTTTACAAATTAATTTGAGCCTTGAGTATTGGTGGATTAATGCTATTAATTGATGTGGCATTTGTCAAAAAACGATCGAGCAGTAGGGTGGCCGAGCGGTCTAAGGCGCTGGTTTTAGGCACCAGTCTGTTCGGAGACGTGGGCTCGAATCCCATCCCTACCAACTCTATTTTTTCGCGTATTTTAATTTAAGGGCGAAGCTTTGTTCTTATCCTCCACATCATTTGAACTAAGAATTTTTTCGTCCTTTTCTGGTCATATTGAACAAACGCTAATGCAAAGCGCGTAGAAACAGTTTGTCTGCAAACATTTCTGTTATTTCAAAAAGAAGAAGAAGAAAAAAAGGCGAGATAATTTACAGCCAGTTACTTAAATTTAATACGTTTATTTTTTTGCGTTTTTGAATGAAATAACAATAAAATACGCATAAATCAGCACTTTCGGAATTCCAATAGTATTTTACGTCGTTAGAAAGAAGACAAAATGAAAAAATTAAACGTATAATCACAGTATTTGATGTAATGCCGACAGTTTTACGGTTTTAGAATAAAAACTCGTTCGTTTTAATGCGCCTTCTAGAGAGGGTAAACAGGCATGCCGGTTTTTACCATATGGAAATATCTGATTTTGTGGTCCGCGAAAATACAGTTCAAAAGCTTTTTAATAAAATATCATAACAGATGGCGTCACATGCAGTTTTAAATGTGGTTGCCAGGAAAGTTAAGCAACTCGTTGCTGGAATTTTTGAGATTTTGCAAGTGAAATGTTAAATCTACTGTCAAGTCTATACTTTTGATCAGGAGTGTAATTTATTTAAAAGTTCGATAAATAACTAAACTAAAAGTCTTCGTAAAGCGAATAGATATTAATAAATATCTATTCGCTTATATCATTAATAATAAGTTTTGATATTTTTATCAATAGTAATCAAAAACTATTGTTATTGATAAAATACCAAAATTTAGATTATTTTAAAAGATAGGTAAATAGGTTTATCGTAATTAAACAAACGCCTGTTTGTCATAAGACCAGCGAGCATTTGTCATTAAGAAATTTTTAAAACCTAAAATTGTGATTATTAAGTATTACCATGTAATTTCTACATTAAAATGGCTCCTGTTTTTAATTCATTAAAGAAAACAAACACACATTTGAAAAGTTATAATTTTACAACATCGAAATTATTCAGTTGCGGTATAACAAAACTCGAGGAACGATGGAACGAAAATAAAGAAATTCCTGAATATTTTAATTTTTTCGAAGATGCTGTGAAATATTGGGCATTGAAAGAAAAAGTAAGTTATTTTTTATGTTAATTTCACAAATTCTGTTTATTAGAACTTGAAACTAAAATGGGTATCAAAACTAAATTTATTTTTTGAACAAAATTTCTGTACCATTTTCAAAACTAATATTTTCACTTGATTTTTATATATTTTTTTTAAATTTAAACTTAAGACTCTCTAATATATTTTTCTGCCCAAGAGTTTCCGAATGGATAACACTACTAAACATTGGTATATGGCGAATCACCATATACCAGTGTTTACTTTCGTCTAATATATAAATAGGAACCAGTTTTTCTTAGAAAGTCCTCCAGAGAGGCACCTCCCTCCTTGGCAGATCGCCCACTTGTTAAATTGCCTTATTCCATCAAAGAACTTTAACATGTTATTCTCCGAATAATATTTAATTTCATATTTTATGTAATAATCTGTGTCGATTAGATATAAATATCGTCCGATAGAATTATAATACATATGATAATGAAAAAATATTCCCCAATTTACTGTGGAACGGTTACGTTTAGTTTATATACATATAGTTTACAGTAACAGTTCAATAATGTTTTAATTAAAACCCTATTAATTTAAAAATTATCGAAAACTGTATTGTATATACTAAACAAATCTTAAATTTCAATAATTTTGAATGTTTAATTGGGTTTCAATTTGGAAAAATTGTGGACCTATAAATTCCCACTGTCGTCCGTCTTTCCTTAATCTCGAAAACGGAGTTTGATACATGAAAATCAATACCAGATGTTGAAATCGTAGAGACAGGAAGCCCTCGATTAACTATATAAGATCTTCCGGTACAAACCCGGAAATCACGTTATTTCAATTCAAAAATTTTTCCCTGAAAGGAGTTAGATAGATGACTGGCACAACTCTATTGCCAATGGAAAAGTATGATGTACAGGGGCAAGACACTACTAATTTGAGATGGAGAGCATATATTTTAAATTAAAAAATCATTAAAACTACGATTAAAAATTGCAGCCCGGCATTGTGACGATGTCACAATAAATATTTGCTCGTTCCATTTTGTTTGAGAGACACTTCTGAAAGCTATCAACTTACTTGATTTAGTAATAGAGAGGCTTGTTAAAAAATTAATTGCACAAATTTCTCTTTATGAAAATAGTTTTCCATTGAATAATTATTTTAAAAATTAACAAACTCTCGGATAAGCCTGTTTCTAGCAAATAAAATTGTTGTTATTCATATAGTTTATCCTACTGTATATATCCGTGCTTTACGTTTAAAATCAAATTGTATTGTATTATAGGATATACCGTGTTATAAGTTCCTTAAAATATCCATAATAACTTTTCTAACAGATATATTTTGTGAGAACATGGTTTAGGAAACATGTGAATTCTTCTGTACGTGTCTAGATGAACATAGTATAGTAATGTATAAACAACGTTATGAATACAAATTAGTAAGATGACAATAATTTCAGGAAAATAGCTCTTTAAAATTTTCTTACTAAATTTAAATTTTATATAATCTCTAAGCTTAATCTTTCTATTTAAAAATTACTGCTATATAGAATTAATCTAAAGACAAACATTTGAATATAGATGGCTATTTCGATTGTCTCGTTAATGTTTCATCATCACGAGTGTTAATTTCCATATATCATAATTTTTAAAATAAAATATTTAAAATTACAATATATATATATATACACACACAGTATAGGCCTATATGTACATATTTTCAGAATTTAGAAAGAAAAGGACCGCCTGCATTTTGGTATGTAGATAAAAATGACAATAATATAAAATGGACCTATCAAGAACTCGTTCTACAAACAGAAAAGTAAGCTCTAAACGTTTGACTCTTGACAAAAAAATTTTTTAAGTCAAATTAAAGAATAAATAAAATGCTGATATAAATGAAGCAATAAATAGTCTAAATAATCAATACGGGGTTTATCAGGAAGAAAGATAAACATTTTAGGAGATGATTCTTCACAACTAAATGAACGGTTTCTGAGGAAAATGCACAGACTTCAGTATACATACCAATGTCCTTTTCACAGATTTTACTCCACAGTTCATGCCGAGCTGTTAGAGTTGGATGAAGCCTGAAGTGTACCGAGAAAAAGTATTCTCCCGTGATCAATTTATTGACTGGACAAGAAATGTTACAGTTATAGATGAGAATAGGAACGCACTTTGAAGAAGAACTCACAGTTTGCTAGCGTGCTCAAAAATGTTTCGATGCTGAGGGAGTCCATTTCGAGAACATACTCCATCATGTCAGGAATCATTATCAGATGCAATCATAGTTGCTACATTATATTATTGTTTGACAGTTTGAGTAGGTCAAACTGTCAAACATTCATACCGCTGCGCCTTTAATTGGCCTATTAATCAAACTATATATTCATGTTATTCATGTAGCATGCTACTCCCAAACATTCATCTCCCTAAGTATTTATCTTTCCTCTTGATGTACTCTGTATATATAAAACTGTATTAAATACTGTAACAAAATTTAACTGTTAACAAATCTTTGTCAGTCACAATTATCGATTATAATTTTACGATCTTTAAATTCATATTCTAGTTTTCGATTAAAAAATTAATTTGTTTTATCGTTAAAACGATAAATAGCAATATTATTATTTATTTAAAAATTGTAATGTTTTCCTGTAGAGCAGCTAACGTTCTAAGATCATGCGGACTAAACAGAAATCATAAAATAATCATTATTCTGCCGAAGATACCCGAATGGTGGTTAATCGTTTTAGCATCTCTTCAATTAGGTAAAACACAATTCAGAATCCTGCAATAAATGATAACTTCTTTAAATATCTTAAATATAAAAATAGATCCTATTTTATTTTAGGAATTGTGTTATCTCCAGGAACTACCCAACTAAGGAGCAAAGATATTCTTTACAGAATTAATAGCATTAATGCTAATTGTATAGTTGCAGATTTAGAGACATCGGAAAGAGTTGATCAGGTATAGTCATGGCTGGACTGACTTGTGGCCTTAAACTATAACATATAACAAGTCTTTTACGCCATCAAATAATAATAATTCGTATAAAAATGTAAGGCCCCTAAGCTGCAGCTTGTTTAGTTTATGTACAAATCCAGCGCTTGCTTTGTTTTTTGTTTTTGCTTTGTGGGCACTAAGAGGGCCTCTTATTAGCAAGCCCATTGTGGGTTTGGCCAGGCCAAGACTATAGACAAAAATTCGGCCACATATAATAGGCCTAGCATTAAAATTTGGGATTCTGTCAATCCAACTTTGAGATTTTTGGCTCCTTCTCAGTGATTATCATAAAATAATAATATACATTACGAAAACTTAAACTGTTCCAGACCTCTAGGTCTGTGTATTACATAGGCTATATCAAAAAATCAATACTATATCAAATAAACTGTGGAACATAGGAATAAAATCCAGGCTGACAGCTATAACCAGAGACATGGAATATGCAAGTGAGATGTAAATTACCTCAAATGCTATTTACGGAAGAGAAGACACCCAATAACTTCAAATTCGACAGTTTGAAGCGCAAAAATTGGAGCGTGAATCGATACGAAGAACTATGCAAAAGCATGATATATAGAAACTATCGAAACACTGAGCTATCTAAACAAACACAAATTGGTGCCGCTATTTGTAATACGTATGAGAATTGTAATAAGTAGTGAGATCTGGAACAGTTTAGGTCTTATAATATATAGAATTATTTTATGATAATTACTATATTCACTGAGGAAAAGCCAAAAAAATCTTAAAGTTGGCTCGAAATGAATGTGAGTGCCGAAATATATTTAATAAAGGTTGAGTTGAAAACCTAAAACCGGTTAAGTTGCAAAATCAGTCTACTGAATTACGTTGACGAAAACATATAATTTAATATATTGTTAATAATCTATTACAAATTTAAATAATAGTGTATAAATTAAATTAAATTGAATAAATTATAGTATAGACCCGAGAAACATTAATTTGTATTTAGTTAAAAAGAAAAGAAACGAATTTACAATAAACTTATTTTTAGATACCTTTCTTACATACATATTCAAATATACGCTTTCTTAACCTAACATAATAGTGATATTTACTATAGAACAGTGATAACTATAACTTTTGTATGTAATATAAAATACTATTGCGATAAAGGACGAGGTCTCGCATATTTCTGATAGGAGATTAATGTACAGTCGACCCCCTATAACACTGTTGATAATTCCGTTTTATTTGAATTCCATGTTGTACGAGTCACTTAGATATTACAAATACTTGAGCCGTTCACAGCCCGGCACACATATTTGTAAAATCTAAGTGACTTGTACAACATGGAATTCATATAAGGTGGAATAATCAACAGTGTTATAGGGGGGTCGACTGGTTGTATATTAGAGGTGGCCAAACAAAACATGGCTGATTTATTAGATATATAGCCTATATATTTATTGATATAAACTTTTAACGACTTTTCTAAAATAATTAATAATCGATGATATTCATTGTATCTTTTAGATTGTTAAAGATTGCCCTTCATTAACTACTAAAATTCTTTGCACTGAAAAGGATAAGTAAGAATCAATTCAGAAAGTTTATTAAAATTTTTAATTTATTACAGAAACTTAAATTTTTAATGATTAAACTTTCTATTTAAAGATTTTCTCTCGATTTCCAGAGTGAAAGATGGTTGGATCCACTTTAAGACTGAACATGAAAGTTCGCCCCGTTTGGAAGAGGTTTATTTGTTTTAAAATCACTAATTTAAGTTTGAAAATAAAGATAATAACCACCACATTTAGATTTTAATGAGGAATACAACTCAATTAATTTATTTTTAAACTTGTTTATATTATTACAGTGTGTTAAGACCAAAACGAACGATCCCATGATTATATATTTTACAAGTGGAACTACTGGAAATCCAAAACCTGTACAGCATACGCACGAAAATGCTTTTTCGATATGCATAAGTAGACGGTAAATAATAATATCAGTTTATTCTGAATACTGTATTTTCGAATATTTTGCATTAAATTAAATGTGTGATTTATTTATTTTTTCATTCTTTAGATACTTTGTAGATATTCAATCGAACTCTTTGTCGTGGAATCTAACTGATACAGGATGGGGAAAGACAATTTGGGGATCTCTAGGATATCCCTGGTCAATTGGTGCTGGAAATTTCATTTATAATTCTTCGCGCTTCGATGCAAAAGAATACTTAAATGTAAAGTCTAAGTCGTTTTTCGCTAAACTAGATAATTTTTAATTAAAAATATATAGCAAGCTTATATAACGGGGCTCATTTCCCTTTACACCACTAGACCCTGGGGAAGAGTTGCAACAGTTTGGAGCGCGAATGTTCAAAATAACAATACAATAATGAAAAAATAACTTTATATAGAAACAACTAATGAAGGAATTAGTAAAAAATTAAAAGCTTATTAGAGACAAAATACGATGCACCAGTTGAAAATATAAAAATATTTGAATATAGTTTGCATAAACATACGGTGCCTTTTGCCTCTTTCTTATGACGCCGGATATGGCCGGAACGGAAATTATCTGTCCCCTAAATATGAAGCTTTATCATATCAGTATTCCAGACAATAAATTTGTTTTTCACAGTTTTGATATTTAAAAATTGTAGAATTACTGCAGAATTAAAATTGTAAAATTTTAATTCTGCAGTAATTCTACAGATTTTTAGAATCATTTGCTGTAAAACTGGCACTGTGGCATTATCAATGTGGGGAGCGCTTGCACATTGTTGGCCTAGGGGCACCATATTTCTAAATACATCACGCTTATATATAGTAATAATAATGTCATATTTAAATTTTATTTCCCATGATATGTCCCGAGTGTTTAAGCATTATTTAAAACCATTATTTTAATGCTAAGCAAATAAAATAGTATAAGGAAAAACTCAATATTATAATGAACTCTATGTTTCGCGTCTTATTAAATCTTTCCTTTTAAATTTCGGATTCATTGAGCCTCTTCTAATTATTTTTATTTCACGAATAAAATATTTTAATTTTATTAAATAAAATCATTTTAAAACAGATTTTACAACGTTATCCAATAACTAATTTCTGCGCACCTCCAACTGCTTTCAAGTTCTTTCTCAAAGAGAATTTAGAGAAATATAAATTTCCCCATCTGAAATCATGCACGAGTGGCGGAGAAAGCTTGGTTTGTATTTACCATTTTATATTTGATTTGTATACAATAAACTATATTTGTAATATTAAATTACAAATTTTAATTAGTTCTAACTTTATAGACAAAAGATTTATTTACAACGTGGAAAGAGAAAACGGGAGTGATGATATATGAAGGATACGCACAATCAGAGACAGTAATAGATATTTATTTATTTATTTATTTTTAAAATAATTGATTGTAATCAAATAAAAACTTCCTGTTAAATCTAAATTTTCAGTCATTGCTGTGTTCGGATTTTCATTGCAAACAGAAAAAACCGGGATCAGTGGGTTTACCTCCGCCATTTCTTCAGTTAGATGTACGTAAGCAATTATCAAAATAATGATTTAATTGCACGTTTAATAAATTATAAATAAGTCACACGAAATGTTAAGGCTAGATAATATTAATCAAAATCGTTCGATGTAACAAATAGACTTTGCCGGGCTGAAATAATTTTCTCAGAAACCAAAGTTCATTGAAAAATGGGAGGGAAAAAATTCTTTTCTTTTAATTTTTAATCCGCTTGAAAAACGATAAATATTAATGTAATTTTTTAAATATATTGTATGTTATTATAACATTATGGACTATACATATTTTTTAGGTAACATTAAATTTTATTATTTTAATTGTATCTACATAGTAATTAAAATGATTGGAGTTGTGGTGTTTCAGAATTTGTAGATTTGCGAATGTTTTTATAGAATTAGTGAAAGGAAAATCAATTTTCAAATAATTATCGGAATTTTAATAGTTAATGCAGTCGAGTGTCGATTATCCGAAATAAACGGGCGGGACAATTTCATATAACCGATGACAACCTGGTAGAGAAAGAATAAAAAAATACAGGTCTTAAAGAAAATAAAATTATTAATTTTAATTTTAATACAACAGTAAAATAAGATTAAGAAATAAAAATTTAATTAATAAAAATTATTAAAAATAAAAAAGGGTCTAATTTATTAAAACTGAGAACAAGTCTTTCATTCCAATCTACAATGTATAGATGAAACTTTGAATTCTAAATTTAAAAAAGTACATAATAGTAAAATTAATAATAACGACATAACTCAATATTAAACCTATAGATTGTCAACAATCGTTATTACATAAAAAAATTCGTAATTTCTGTAGTCTAATCAGTGTACTCTGAAGTCGATTTTGGTTAATCGATTTTTCAAGTAATTGATTTTCGGTTAATCGTCGCTCCACTAATATTATAAAAATAAATATTTTCGGCTTAAAACAAAGTTTTTCACAGAATATTTAATAACCAGAGCTACGGAGAGCGATCATGGACTACGAAGAGAGGGCCTCCTGAACCCTTCCTCCTTTTCTGACATGACGCCTTCAATTTGTTCTCTTTTTCTTTCTCTTTCTCTGTGCTNCATTTTAACTACGGAGGCAGTAGCCTAAAAAGGAAGGTCGTCTCCGTGAGTTTGTGATTTTATGAACTGCTGATGGTGCGAACAACGAAAGAAATGACTGAAACAAAATTTTTTTGTAAGAGTCGTACTTTTATTTTATTAATATAAAATAGTCGTTGGCCATGCAAAACTTATTATTTTTTACTTGAAATGTATTTTGTGATTGTGGCAAGAACACCAGATGACGCTTTTATCATTTTTTACATTTTAACTACGGAGGCAGTAGCCTAAAAAGGAAGGTCGTCTCCGTGAGTTTGTGATTTTATGAACTGCTGATGGTGCGAACAACGAAAGAAATGACTGAAACAAAATTTTTTTGTAAGAGTCGTACTTTTATTTTATTAATATAAAATAGTCGTTGGCCATGCAAAACTTATTATTTTTTACTTGAAATGTATTTTGTGATTGTGGCAAGAACACCAGATGACGCTTTTATCATTTTTTACATTTTAACTACGGAGGCAGTAGCCTAAAAAGGAAGGTCGTCTCCGTGAGTTTGTGATTTTATGAACTGCTGATGGTGCGAACAACGAAAGAAATGACTGAAACAAAATTTTTTTGTAAGAGTCGTACTTTTATTTTATTAATATAAAATAGTCGTTGGCCATGCAAAACTTATTATTTTTTACTTGAAATGTATTTTGTGATTGTGGCAAGAACACCAGATGACGCTTTTATCATTTTTTACATTTTAACTACGGAGGCAGTAGCCTAAAAAGGAAGGTCGTCTCCGTGAGTTTGTGATTTTATGAACTGCTGATGGTGCGAACAACGAAAGAAATGACTGAAACAAAATTTTTTTGTAAGAGTCGTACTTTTATTTTATTAATATAAAATAGTCGTTGGCCATGCAAAACTTATTATTTTTTACTTGAAATGTATTTTGTGATTGTGGCAAGAACACCAGATGACGCTTTTATCATTTTTTACATTTTAACTACGGAGGCAGTAGCCTAAAAAGGAAGGTCGTCTCCGTGAGTTTGTGATTTTATGAACTGCTGATGGTGCGAACAACGAAAGAAATGACTGAAACAAAATTTTTTTGTAAGAGTCGTACTTTTATTTTATTAATATAAAATAGTCGTTGGCCATGCAAAACTTATTATTTTTTACTTGAAATGTATTTTGTGATTGTGGCAAGAACACCAGATGACGCTTTTATCATTTTTTACATTTTAACTACGGAGGCAGTAGCCTAAAAAGGAAGGTCGTCTCCGTGAGTTTGTGATTTTATGAACTGCTGATGGTGCGAACAACGAAAGAAATGACTGAAACAAAATTTTTTTGTAAGAGTCGTACTTTTATTTTATTAATATAAAATAGTCGTTGGCCATGCAAAACTTATTATTTTTTACTTGAAATGTATTTTGTGATTGTGGCAAGAACACCAGATGACGCTTTTATCATTTTTTACATTTTAACTACGGAGGCAGTAGCCTAAAAAGGAAGGTCGTCTCCGTGAGTTTGTGATTTTATGAACTGCTGATGGTGCGAACAACGAAAGAAATGACTGAAACAAAATTTTTTTGTAAGAGTCGTACTTTTATTTTATTAATATAAAATAGTCGTTGGCCATGCAAAACTTATTATTTTTTACTTGAAATGTATTTTGTGATTGTGGCAAGAACACCAGATGACGCTTTTATCATTTTTTACATTTTAACTACGGAGGCAGTAGCCTAAAAAGGAAGGTCGTCTCCGTGAGTTTGTGATTTTATGAACTGCTGATGGTGCGAACAACGAAAGAAATGACTGAAACAAAATTTTTTTGTAAGAGTCGTACTTTTATTTTATTAATATAAAATAGTCGTTGGCCATGCAAAACTTATTATTTTTTACTTGAAATGTATTTTGTGATTGTGGCAAGAACACCAGATGACGCTTTTATCATTTTTTACATTTTAACTACGGAGGCAGTAGCCTAAAAAGGAAGGTCGTCTCCGTGAGTTTGTGATTTTATGAACTGCTGATGGTGCGAACAACGAAAGAAATGACTGAAACAAAATTTTTTTGTAAGAGTCGTACTTTTATTTTATTAATATAAAATAGTCGTTGGCCATGCAAAACTTATTATTTTTTACTTGAAATGTATTTTGTGATTGTGGCAAGAACACCAGATGACGCTTTTATCATTTTTTACATTTTAACTACGGAGGCAGTAGCCTAAAAAGGAAGGTCGTCTCCGTGAGTTTGTGATTTTATGAACTGCTGATGGTGCGAACAACGAAAGAAATGACTGAAACAAAATTTTTTTGTAAGAGTCGTACTTTTATTTTATTAATATAAAATAGTCGTTGGCCATGCAAAACTTATTATTTTTTACTTGAAATGTATTTTGTGATTGTGGCAAGAACACCAGATGACGCTTTTATCATTTTTTACATTTTAACTACGGAGGCAGTAGCCTAAAAAGGAAGGTCGTCTCCGTGAGTTTGTGATTTTATGAACTGCTGATGGTGCGAACAACGAAAGAAATGACTGAAACAAAAATTTTTTTTGTAAGAGTCGTCCTTTTATTTTATTAATATGTATAGTTTAATTTATAATTAAAATTAATTTCGACAATGCATTTCTGAAATGGACCATATTTTTCTAAAGTTAATTGCAACAGAAAAAAGAATATGTAGGCCTTTATTTTGCAAATAAATTATTTTTCGATTGTCAAATCTAACAAGCAAACGATTAGTTACATCTTCAAGAGGGAAATAAAATTTAATTTTGCTTGTTTGTCGATTAGTTGCGTTTCTATTATGTAAGTAAAGATAATGTTACAAGTTTTTTGAGGAGACAACGTCTCGTATATAAATCGCGCTGCTGTCAACGGCTTGACACCTTAGAGGCACGAAGGAGTACATGTCAGGAGTTGCAATTTGGCACAGAGTATTTGGTGCCAAAATCATGCGCACATAAAAAAAGCCCAGACTTGTAGGTAGTCAGGAAACCGAAAACCGAGTCAAAATAAAATACAAAATGGCGACACTGTTTCTACGAACAGACGAGAGTGCAAGATTTGTGCATGCGTTTCTCGTTAGGAAGTTCGAAATGCGAACGTTGCGAAATCGGATTTTGACAAACATGTGACACACGTTAAGCGTGTATTCTCTTGCTCTCGTCATTTCGATTTTCTTGTGTGTCGCTGATACCTCATTCTGATCAATTTGACCCATTAATTTCGCCGAAAACCTCGTGGACGACCTCGTGGCCTTGGTCGTGGCCGGGATCGGCGAAGTTTGAACGATTGCGCTCAAAACCAGCGATACCAAAGAAAATTGGAGAATGAGAACGAGACCCACCGTGAGCATTCAAGTGATCCCGCTTACCGTAGCCAAGAACAGGCCTGTAACAATGCAACCCGTCGTAACCACGGCGGCGATGAAGCCCGCCAAAATCCACGCCAGGACTCCGAGTATCGGTGTCGGCTTTTCCTCATTGGAGAGTGCTCATTTTTCTCTTTTCGTTAGAAAACGATGCGCAATCGAGCACTGAGTCTCCGAGACACAATCTCGTCCCAAAAATGGCTTTGGCGTTTTACTTGTTATGTTTTGATCGTCATAACGTTCTATAGCATTATAGAAAATCCATGTTGCGTACGTTATAGATAACTTTTAATTTTAAAGTTTTCAATGAATATGCCATTAAAATAATCAATATTTTTAAAAAGTGAGATAAAATAGCTTTCAAATGATCAGAAATAACATTAGAATGAAGACGCTTTTTTCCAAATGCTTATATTAAAACAACAAGCAGGCATGCGGGGCAATCAGGCTAATGATATATCGTACTGCACATGATATAATCTATCAATATATTAAATCTGTCTGTATAATAATTAAAACTCGGATTTTAAAGTGCAGCACCTCGCTTCTAATAGTTTATGGCAAAGATCAGAAACACTTCATTTATGTTTATTTCGTGTTTGTGTAACAAATAAGCCATCTTTGCTTGCATCTTTTTCATATTTCTTCCTGTTTTTTTATATTTTAGCTTCATTACCCCGATTTCCTAGACTTTTTCTTATCTTATAAGATTCATAATAACTATTTTTTTTTAGAGAAAACAGTATAAACGTATTTTTTAAATATAAAGTAATAATTTAACATTTTA